TTTGGACAATTGCTTGGCAATTTTTTATAAAGGCAAACTTACATTGAGAATATAACCCAGCAGGTCCATTCTTAAGTATTTATCAAGAGAAATGAAAACATATATCCATAATAGGACTTGTTCAAGACTGTTTATAGCAGCTTTACTCATTATAACCCCAAACTGGAAGCACCCCAGATGCCCATCAACAGGCGAATGTAAAAGTAAACCAGTGTTTGCCTCAGGGATAAAAGCACGTACTGTCACATTCAGCAACATAATGGGTTTTAAAGACATTATGTTGTGCAAAACGAGTACCTACTATAAGAACAGGCAAAACTAATCGCAATGATAGAACTCAAAAGAATTTGCCCATGAAAGGGCAGGGTGGGGACTGACTGGAAGGAGGCAAAGAGATTTTAGAGGATGTAAACATTTCATGGCTTCACTGGGAAGGAACTACATGGCTGCAGACATTTATCAAAAACTAATGGAATGACACACTTAAGATCTGTGCATTTTGCCATTTCTTCAATAAAAAAAACAGAAGGAAAAATTTAAAAGACTGTCTCCAGTTCCAACACTGAAGCCAGCCTCCCCTCAACACGCAGGGCTCCCAAGCCCACCACCAGCCTTGCTGGCCGCCACCCGCCCGAGGCTGTTGGGAGGCAGGGAGGTGGAGAGCGGGCCTGACGGAAGCCACGGAGCCGGAGGGCAGCCCACGGGATGAGGCAGCGGCTAGGGAACTCTTCCCTCCGGTCTGGCTAAAGCCAGTTTCCTGTAGATACGATCCTTCAGGCCAGCCCTCCCCCGGTGTCCCGTTTGACACCTCACTTCAGTTTCCAAACGGAAAGAGGAAGCCGGGAAGGGGCAAGGGTAGTCCGAGCGGCCACCCCGCAGATTGCAGCGCCCACGCGCTCTGCGCCACGGCCCGTCTGCGCCCGCGGCCCCTCGACACCCCCCCACCTCCCAGCCGCGTGTGCGGGAGGTGCTGGTGTCCCTCCTAGTCTGCAAGTGAGGAGGCAGCGCTTAGAGTAGCAAAAAGGGCTTTCCCGGAAAGGGCGTGGCCAGCCGCTGACGGAGGCCCCCCCCCCCGAGCCCCCGCCACCCAATGCACCCTGTGACGCCCCAACTCAAGGCCCTAAAACCCGAAGCCTGGCAGCTTTCAAGGAACCCGAAGTTGGACAAGGCCGTGGGAGGGGCTATTGGGGGGGGTGCCCCCATCCTCCCTTGGGGGACGGGCGTAGGGACCTACTCAAATGAGCTCCGGCTGCAGCCTCCCCTCTGGTCCTGCAGGACCCTTACACGCTGTCGTCACCGTGTACACCCGCACTGTCCAGTACAGCAGCCACTAGCTCCTCTGGCTACCTCAGTAGCTCCTCAGTTCCTCCAGGGCACCTTTCAAGTGCTCGGTAGCCACACGTGGCCAGTGGCCACTTGATGGAATAGTCCTGACCTCGGTTCCTCCGTCAGTCAGCGCCCAAGGGCTGCAGTTTGCTGGGCCTGGCGATAATTCTGCCTGGGCATGTCAGCAAGCTGACGCGTGCCCGTGACAGCCAGGGAAGGCGCAGACGTGAGGGAGGCCGCACAGAGGTGGTGAAACCCGGGGCATCAGGGGAGAGGTCGGTGGTGTGGCCAGGTGCTCTTCTCCCCAGCAAACACCCTTTTCTTTCCTCTCTTTCAGAAGAGAGTTCTGTCCCTGACCCATGACTACTTCTTCACAGACATCAGTGACACGCCTTTCAGGTGAGGGACCCACGTTTAATTTCCAGGGGGCAGAGGTGGGTGGGACATGAATACCAACGACTCAGGGCAGAGCTTTCAGGTCTGAGGGATGGATTTAGTCATATTTAGTTGACAGTTTTGTGGTAACAGAAAAGACCCAGGTCTACATCCAGGAAACTTGAAGTCTACACCAGCTTTGCTTAGTGGGCAGGGTCTGGAGCCAAACTGCCTGGGTTTGAATCCCAACTGCACCACTTACAGGCTGTGTGACCTTAGTCAAGTCACTTAATGTCTCTGTGCCTTAGCTTCCTCATCTGCAAAATGGAGGTTGACAATAGTTACTTCTTGAAAATATCATGCTTATTAAATGACATAATCTATTTAAGGATCTTAAAGCAATGCAATTATAAGCAATTGGAAGATGAAAGATCAGATTTGAAGATCTTTTAGGGCCCCTCCAAACTGCATAAATATTCTAGTCTCAGTGTTACACAGACAAGGACATGAATAGCCTTTGTCTCTAAATTACCTCATTTCTTAATAAAGTGTGTTTCCCAGCCCTGACTCCTCATTAGAGTGCCTGAGGAATCTCGTAAATTGCCGAGGCCTGCACCCCCTCCTCACCAATTGACTCCACAATTTCTGAGATGGGGCCCAGGCATTAGTATCTTTAAAGCTCCTTTGTTGATTCTGATATTCAGCCAAGGTTCAAAAGCAAAGCTTTCCAGAGAGAGAAGCAAGCAAGGTGGGGTTCACCAGGTGGGAGAGGATCCCCCATTTGTGAAGCCCTGGAAGACATAGAGAGCTTTGTACATTTCAGGGGTCCCCGAGAGGCCCCCCTCAGCTGTATCCTGACAAGTGTCTGTGGAAGGGCCCCCAGCCTGTAGAATTTCCAGGGTCCTTCTTGAGAAGAAAGGGTGTTGAAAGACCAGAAATGCTGCCTCAGACTGAGGGGACAACCCTCACGCCAGAGGCTTGGCACAGTGCAGAGCTGATGCAGGAGAGGGAGGTGGATGGGACATCGGCCGGCACGTGCTGTTGGTGAGTCCAAGTGTGCTCTGCTCTCCCCACAGCCTGGGCGTGGTGCTATCCCAGGGCCACGGAGAATACATCCTCCTGGGAAACACGTCCGTGGAAGAAGGTGGGTCGGTGCCACTGATGGACAGTTTTGAGGAAAAACGGGTTCTCTTGGGACACTGGGCAGGGCCCCCCAGGGTAGCTGGTGTGACAGCCTCCCAGGTCCCAGTGGAGAGCAGATCAGAGCTGGGCTGCTTAGTGAGGAGGGTGCGTGGCCTGGGAGCCCAGGACATGCAGGGCCCGCCATCAGTCGTCAAAGCCAAGGAAGACGGAGCTGTACCAGCCGGGAGGCTCTGCCTGACGCGGGGCGGGAGCACGCCATGTGCGCCTCTGAACAAAGCTAAACGCACCTGTCAGAGGACAGGACAGAAGGCATGACAGCGGGGCCGTGAAGAGACAGAGCAAAGTGGCAGTGCTCGCCCGGCTGCCGTGACAACGCGCCTCAGGCTGGGGGCTCAGCAGACGATGTTCTCCTGCAGCCTCAGGGCGGTACCCCTCCCGCCCCTCCTCTCGGCCCAGCGGCCCCCCCGGAGTCCCCTGCTGGGGACAGCTGTCCCATTTCCTCCTCCCGTCCAGTGGGTCTTCCCGTGGGTCTGTTTCCCTTTCTCAGAGGGACACCAGGCGTATGGGCTTAGGGCCCACCCTAATGACCTCATCTCAATTCGATTGCATCTGCCAAGACCCTGTTTCCAAATAAGGTCATGTTCAGAGGCGTTAAGACTTACAATAGGGAGCGCATGGGAAGCCGACCTGAAGATGGTGGGAACGGCGGGGCGGATGGGGGGAAGGCCCTTCCCCAGCCCAGCCTGCTGGGCTGCGCAGCTCCCTGAGCACCTGCGGAACCGAGTGCCGTCCCGCCGCCAGGGGGTCTCGGGAGGTCCCGGAGCCAGACCCTGGTCTCCCGCCCACCCCTCCACGCTGCCCCTTGAGCACATCTCCTCCGCACATCTTTGTCGCCCCTCTCCGGGATAAACCACCGCAGCAGCTCTAACGGGCCTCCCTCCCTCCTCCTCTCCCCAACCTCCCACCGGAGGGATCTTTACAGAAGTGCCATGCTAGGTTGTGTCTCTGCCCGGGGGCCTCCAGCGGCCTTCTCTGAGCGCTAGGCCTCGGGGTCTCCCCATGCTCCTCTCCTGCATAGCTGTCATGTTCCCAGCGGCTATCGCAGGCAGGGTGCCCCCCTCCTCCTCCCGGCTGGGTTAACAGCCCACCCGGGTGTCCCCACATGCTCCCCTCGCCCATCCACAGCATGCGTTCGTGACGTTGGAGAGCTCCTTCCCTGCCTCCTGCTGCCCCCCAGGCATGGTGGCATACGTGGACTCCGTGTGTGACTCCTCCGTGGTGGCCTCTTCCTTCCCACTCTCCTCCTCTGTCAAATACTCTGATTTACATTCCCACAGGGGAAAGAAGATGCTTTCCCTTCCCCACTTCTGTGGGTGAGGCCAAGCAGTGATCCAGGGGTTGGACCACGGACCCGACTGGGTTTACTGTGGGGGACGGAGAGCTCCCCACCCCTGTTAGCTGCCTACCTCATGTCTGTGTCAATCCAGCACCCCTTCCAGTGACCCAGCAGATGCCCCCTAGGCATTTCCATCATCCTTTCTGTCAATGTAACAAACCTTACTTGAGCACCTTTTGTTTTTGAGCACTGAGTAGGTGCTCACTGGGCATTTGTTCATTCACTCATTCAATCAACACACACATGGTCATGCAGGCGCCATGCTGGGCAGAAGGCTGCAGAGGTTGTGCAAAACAGACATGGCCCATCTCTGGGCTACCTTTTGATTGGCCAGGTATCTCCACTGGGTACCATGAAGCCAGCGAAGCCCAAGTCCCTGGCTCCAGGTATGCACTGCCGTGAGGGAGATGCTAAAAGGAAGGATCAGAATCAGGACATGAGGCACAGGAAGGAAGAAATGTCCAGGGAGCAGGGGCAGCGTGGACAGAGGGTGACCACTGGCTGTTCTGCTCTGAGAGCAGGGACAGACCTAGCCTTCCCAGGCAGGCTCCCTCCAGGGAGGGCCTAACACTTAGGTGCGGCTCCCACATGGTGGGCCTGAGCTGGGTGTGGCTCTGGTTTCAGGCCTGCACGACCTGCTTCACCCGGACCTGCGCCTGGCCAGTGACTGGTACGCAGGAAGCTGCCGGGCGTGGGGAGCAGGGAATGGGAGGGGAAAGGTGGGCTTCTCCAAGGTAACGTTGCCTCTGCCTGGCTCCAGGAGCTACTGTGTCACGGACAGCGACACCGACCACCGGAAGCTCAGCCAGCTGGAGGCCATGGTGCGCTTCCTGAGTGGGGAGGACGCAGACCTGGAGTGTGAGTGCCCACCCGCCGCCCAGGCCCCGGCGCCCCGGCACCCCACCTGGGACTCGCTGACGCTGAGGGGTTCAGGGAGGTTTCCAAAGAAAGGCAGAGCTAGCCTCCCCATGGGAATGGGCCCTGGAACTGAGGCCACACCGTGTGTCCCCTCATGGGGACCTCAGGCTCTCTAAGACACTCGCTCAGCGTAAGGGCAGCTGTACCAGCAGGTCCATCCCTGCCCCCTCACAGCAGTGCCCCGGCTGGTGGCTGAAGCCCTCCTCTCTCCCCTCCCTGGGAGAGGCCATTCGCTTCCAGCCTGTGGCCTGGTCCTCTGGCTACCCTCAATTCCCCTCCAGGACACAACTGGTGAGCCCCGGGGGCCATGCCACCAGCACGGCCCTTCTTCCTCTTGAGAACAAGCAGGTCATCCTGCACATAAATGTCACCTGCCAGAGAAGACTCCATCCCCTGTGCTGGCCCTACAGGGTGCTCACCTGTTCACCCCTTCAAGCCATCAACAGTTTGCACAGAGCTCGTGTCTGAGCCGGGCCGGGGTGGGCACTGGAGCCACAGGGGTGACCCAAGCGGACGCGGCCTCCACTCGCCCAGAGGCCGTCATCTAAGGGAGGAAGGAGCGAGCCTCTGTGTGGAGATGTAGGTCATTACAAAGTGTGGGACATGCCGGGGATTGGGTGCTCACGGGAGGAATGGGGCCTGGTCAGGGAAGGCCAGCTCGGTCAGCAGTGCTGATTAGACTGAAGATAAAAAAGAGCCACGCAGGTGGCTTCATGGGCACAGGACGTCCTTGGGGCTAATTAACCGTCATAGGGCTGCACAGGGGTGATGGCTGCCCATCACTATGCCTGTACAAGGTGCCGCTGGACTGGACACTTTAGATTGGTTGAGCGTATGTTATATGAAATTCACCTGAATAAAAATAAATAAAAGTTTAAAGAGACGGGGGAAAAGAGCCACCCGTGCAGAATGGGGAAAGAGTATCCAGACCAGAGGAACAGCAAGTGTGGTGGCTCAGAGGCAAGTCCAAATTCTCAGAACTGGCAGAAGGCCAGTGGATTGTGAGGGTGGTGGCCATGGACACAGAGATGACAGCAGAGACGAGAGGCAGTCTGGGCTCGGAGCCAAGGCCAGCGTCACTTGAGGGGCCCTCCTGGTCTCACAGAGCATTAGAACTGGGGAAGCCCTGGAAATTACTCAGTTCTGCTCACATATTGTTTGCGGTTGAAGCAATGAGGCTGAAAGAGGTGAAGTGACTTTGTTAGGCGCACACAGTTGGTTTCCCATGGTCCAGACATGTGTTTGTGAGCACATCTTGTTCACTGACGTTCAGAGTCATGGGAAAGGACAGAGGAGCTGTTTTCTTCATGGGGAAGCAAGTGGCTTGGCCCCCTTTTGTTTTGCTCCCAGGTGACAAGGAGCTGGTGCAGGAGGTGTTGTTTGATGCTGTGGTGACGGCCCCCCTGGAAGCCTACTGGACAGCGCTGGCGCTCAACCTCTCTGAGTATGTAGGGGTGGGCTGGGACTCCAGGAAGGGGAAGCTCCCAGCCTGAGGCTTCCCTTGGCTGAATCCAGACAGCAGCTCAGGGGACCATCCACATCCTTGGCCCTAGGTGAACAAAGGGTGGGAAGGCTTGGGGCCCTGAGAGTGACCCTTGCACAGCACCAGCGAGGCAGGGACTTGGCAGAATGCCCACACACGGGCACATGCTGCTGCCCTCTCCCCCTGAGAGCCACCACATGCACAGGCCCAAATCCAAAGGGCCCCTGGCAAAGACCCAGATACCCCACCCACCCTGCAGTAGCCCATCTAAGAGCCCCTGTCTCAGAGCTGGGCTCCAGCTGTGAGAGTCCACTAGCCCATGACCCCAGAGATAGCAGTTCAAGCAGCCGGGGCCCTGTTTCCAGCAGGTAAGGCCAAGACACCAGGAGGACAAACTTGACCTTGGTGCTTCCCAGAGCCTTAGATTTCCTCACTCCCTTTGCTGATCTTTCCCTGGGGCTACCGTTTAGTGAGTGCGCAGGTAGAAAGAACAGACAAATAGCTTGTACTCATGTATGTATGTGCACATGAGCACCAGGAGGGTGAGACATTAATGTGGTTAAGAAGACAGTAGGCCACACCATGTGGCTAAACAGGAGGCCAACCTCCAAAGACACAGGATAGATTGATTTATTCTATCCCTATGGCAACACCAACAGAATCTCATAGGAATAATCACCTACTTAAAAGAGCAAGATGGCGGTGTGAGTAGAGCAGCAGAAATGTCCTCCCAAAACCATATATATTTTTGAAAATACAACAAATACAACTCTTCCTAAAAGAGAGACCAGAAGACACAGGACAACAGCCAGACTACATCCACACCAGCGAGAACCCAGCGCCTCACGAAGGGGGTAAGATACAAGCTCCAGCCTGGCGGGACCCGAGTGCCCCTCACCCCAGCTCCCGGTGGGAGGAGAGGAGTCGGAGCAGGGAGGGAGAGGGAGCCCAGGACTGCTGAATACCCAGCCCCAGCCATCTGCACCGGAGCACAGAAACAGTGCGTGCGTGGGGTGCTGGATACTAGGGAAACAGGACAGTAAGACCTGTGAGCGGGTCCCCGCAGCTGGTGCCCTGGGAACAAAGAAGAGCGAGTGCTTTTAGAAAGTCTTAAAGGGACAGGGACCCCACAGCTGGACGGAAGCGTCCCAGGACACTTAGTCCAGCAGCTGGGACTCCTGGGGAACTCTGGGCACCATAACCCCCTGGGCAGCAGCGCAGCTCGGAGGCCCATCATGGAGATAAACAGCCTCCTGCCTGTTTCCCTTCCAACGCGTCTCCGCCATATTGGAGCATCAGACTGAGGCTGGCCACGCCCACAGCAACGGGAGCTTAACTCCACAGCATTGGGCAAGAATCAGAAGCCCCGTCTGCACGCAGCTGCCCAGCACAAGCCACTAGAGATCACTGTTCTCCCAGGAGAGGAAGGCCACAAACCAGCAAGAAGGGACATTCTCCCAGCTGTCACAGGCGCTAGCTCCGCAAACTATCTCTATTGCCATGAAAAGGCAGAAGAATTTGATACCAAAATCACAGAGTCAACCCCTGAAAAAGAATTCAAAATGAAGGTCATAACCATGCTGACGAAGCTGCAGAGAAATATACAACAGCTAAGGGATGACGTCTGGAGGGAGATTACAGAAACAAAACAATCTCTGGAAGGATGTATAACCAGAATGGATAAGATGCAAGAGGCCATTGATGGAATAGAAACCAGAGAACAGGAATGCAGAGAAGCTGACACAGAGAGAGATAAAAATATCTCCAAGAATGGAACAATATTAAGAGAACTG